GTATGATCCTTGTGTGATCTTAAGTGACTAGTTTTTTTTTTGTACTTAGAAAAATATCCTTATTATGTGTTTGTTGACAATTTATAATTACAATCCTTTATTTTAATTTGGATATTTTTTATTTTTAATAAAACTAATGATTTCTAAAAAAGAAAATTCAAATATTCATTATTAATATATTTTAAAAATATTATTCTTGTTTGTATTTTCTTAAATATTTACTATTCATATATCTCAAAAGATTTTACTATTTACAAACCATCACTTTATGTTTAAATGTATTAAATAATCACATTTAATCAATTGATTAAATTGTTTATATTTGTTCATTCATACTTTCTTAGGTTATAGATTTTAAATCTTTTAGAAGCACTTCCCTCCATTATCTTATAGTCATCTTTTCGACTTTCCCCTCCTCTCTCGTCTAAGTATAATTAGCATTAGATTTAAACTTTATTTAAAAACTATTTAAAGCACTCCCCTTTGTTTTCCTATAATCATTTTTCTCCTCCCGTCTAAATAAAATTAAGATTATATTTAAAATTTATTTAAAAAATATTTAAATATAAGGTGTATATGTAGATTTTATACAGTACAACGTTATTCATATTAGTTTATGAACCACTCGCAATATTGGTGATTGAAAAATATGGTTGTAGTTGTATAAAAAAATACGGGTTTTTTTTTGGTAAATATAAAACAATTCATATGACTAGCTTTGTTTTTCAAATATTATTTATTTGATCAGATTCTTAATAATCAATATTATAATTTTTGAGTATTTATATTTAATACTTTATATCGTGTACACTGTTAAAAGGTGTTGAGAACGTACTCTTGAATGTAAAAGATTACAGGTGGCAAATATTAATATTTACATATAAAGTTTTAGCTCAATGGCTATTAAATGGAGGAGTGATACATCTCTAACAAAATCTAATAATCAATAATATAAATATTAATATTTAAATATAGAGTTTTAGCCGATTGATTATTAGATTTTGTATTTCGAACTTTTAAATTTTATGTTCGGATGTTGAAGTATGTAATTTAAAGTTTCGAACATTTAAATTTGTATATATATCTTTTTAAATTAATAATTTGAAAATGAAAAAAAAACCCGGGTACTCGATTACCGGGTACCTGCAACATCCAGGTCGGGACACAGGCCGAGAAATCACCGACCCGGATGTTGCGAGTACCCAGTAATCGAGCACCCAAAAACCCGGGTACCCGAATTTGCACAGCCCTATTTTATTGGCTGAAAAATCAATAAATTAAATATCAAGAACAAAGCCCTTTGAACAACAATTCATCCGTAGTTGACATTGCAGATGCAGATTTTGACACATGACGGGCAAAAACAAGATTAAAACTGCTCATTTCATGACAAATTTGAGAAACGAGGCATACATTATAATCACGTTCGAGCTGAGCCTAAGCATAAGAATATTCTAAACAAAACCTCTCCAAATTGCTGAAAACTTGAACGTATTAGAGACCGAAGCCTTCTCTTTCCCATCATTTTTCAGACTCCGCGAAGTTAATTTGACGATGAGGGAGCACATTTGTTACAAAGTGAATGAAGAAAATTTGAGACCCTCCAGATTTCCTAGTTTATATGTATCCTCCTCAAATGTTACAAAGGGACGAGTTTATGACCCAACCCCTCCCTGTCCCCCAAAAAAGATTGTAGCTTATAATCCTAGCCAAGAATTGACTTGATTTTCGCCTTTTGATCCTCCGTAAGCGATGTCGGGAACAAAACCTAAAGGTCTCCTTTCTTGTTAGTAAAATGCAATGGCATTCCTTCACCTTTGAAATTTCTCACTTCTTTTGGCTTGGTAATACCCTAAGTATGCAATACACAACTATTTAGTGAGCAATACACTTTACATGCAAATCATGTGGTCTTTTGGAGGGTCTTGTGAGGATGAAAGAGGATGTTGTGGATGCCTCATTTAGTGTGAACTGCAAAACAGACACAAAGACCATACTAAAAAAGTAAGAAATGTTCACCATTCTGTTAAAGTTGGATATAATCATGGTCATGCATGTTTTTGTTACCCTTGTGGTAATATGGAAGTTGAACATGTATGAAGACTAGAGGCAGTTATCTGAGTGAAACTGAAGTTTTAATACTTTTCTTCTTGGCAGTGCTAGTCACTTATTGAGCTTCGTTCTAGTTGCTTTTAGATTTTCTCGATAGTAATAGGCAATTAAGTGCCATATGAGAAACGTGATATTAAAATGAAATATTTTGCTCTTGAAACCATGATGATATTACTCTTCTTCTTTTGAAAGGAATTTCTCTCTAGTGTGGTAGGGTTAGGGTGTTTTCAGGTCTGAATCAGAAATCATAGGCGATTTGTTCATGTTGAAGTTGCTGATTAGCTATTAGAGCTTCCTCTCTTGGCTTAGTTGTTTAGTGGTAACAAGTCGAGTGCATAAGCTCCTCTAGAAAGGGGTGAGCAGCAAGCAGGCTGAGGTTAGTCAAATATAATTGGAAATTCTCGATGCAGATATGAATCTCACATTTGAAAGCCAACTTTTAAGCTAGTTAAAATGATAAAAGAGGACCCCTTCTGTTTACCTTAACTGATAGAGTGTTTGACTTGCACACAATTATTGATATTTTTCTCATCAAATATATAAATTCTTCTGATTTCAACCCATTCAATGCTATCAAGAAATGTTTTGCTTTTGGTAGGTCTTGCCAATATTATGGTTTGAGTAATAATAATCAGTATTTATAGATAGTTTCTTGTATAACCTTTTTTCCCATGTACTCATTGTGTTGGATAAAATATTAAATAGCAGGATGGATATTTGTTTTACCATCATTATTATTATTATTATTCTAAGAAGCAAGATAAGTAGCATTTAGGCTATTTGTTATATAAACATTGATACTGGCATGTTTTAAATCGGTTCATACTAACATTTTAGATTTTCTTATTGTTAGATTGATCTCTATAGTGAAGGATGATTCCAAGTGGTCAGCTGACTTGCAACATAACGAGTCTCCCTCAACGCCAGTGACCGAAAATGGCAATGCCAAGACGACTGGGCGCTTAAAATTGGACATTTGGCTGACATGGAAAGGGAAATACTTATGAAGAAGATATGTTTCCAAGACCTACAGCATCTGTATCGTTGTGTGCTTCACCTTCAAAATCGCCCTCTGAAGGCAGATGATTGCTTTCCGCCATCAAAAGAATCTGAGTTGTAATTTTCTCAGCAGCAATTACTAGAACGAGTTCATTAGAATTTGAGTATCAAATATACGGCTTTTGCTTCTCATAGCTTCCTAGAGACATCTGTTGGAGCCTCAATCGGGGCTTAACCCATATAAACTTGAAGGAACAAAACTTGGCCATTTTGCTTTATCATCTTCGTCGTCTTGCTCAGTCTTCCTCGGTGCTCTCTTAAACCCCAAACCCATATATTAACAGTTGGATGATGTGTTAGTTTGGCATGATGTGAAAGCTATTCTTTTTTATTCCACCTTACACTCTTCATTAAAATTCGAGTTCTTTTTGGCATTAACTAGCTTGGAAGGGTTCTTTCGATCTCAAAGTCTATCATATGCCTCCGGTCCAGATAGATCAAGCATACCTGGAGGATGCTGAACCTTACAGATCTGTGGAGATTAGTGCCTTCTCATTCTGCTTGTTTTTATTATTATTCAAAAAAAAAAAGTTCAAAGTTGATCTCAGTGGTAAGAGAAGATTGAAGCATCATAACAACAAATCTTTTTATCAATTTTAAGTGATTTTCTTCTTAAAATTGAACTTAAAACTAAAATGCAGTCTTTAATTGAAACAATTTAAAATTCAATAATTAAAATTATACATAATTTAAAGTTTAGTGATGTTCGACGCAAATTACCCAAAAATGTAAGGCAAATTAAATGATGTGACACTCTAAAAAGTTTACTTGCAGAATCCACAAAAAATTTACCATATAAATTCAATTTTCTTTATGTATTTTGAGAACACTTAACCTAACGTTTTGGTATCGATGAAACCAAAAGAAAAGTAAGAGGCCTTAATGCGGACTCTAAAGTCTAAACCGGGGGGGGGGGTCGGCCAATCTATCTATCTATATTAGTGGCCTAAAAGTTGACAATTAACTAACGTAACTTAGTATGTCCAGTTGATCAAAGGCATACAAGTTAGTAAATGAATACAAATATTTATGATACCAATATGGACATAGGGAATATTAAAAAAAACAAAGCTCGATATTCGGATGCGTTTCGTCATAGGAATATGTGGTTGCGAGGGTCCACAGTCGACGCAATTGGCGAAAAATATCTGACGCAAAAATGCACACCCATGAGGCCACGCAATAACATTAACCTAACTCCTCAAACTTGCTCAATTAAGTCCTTTGTTTATTGTCAGATTCCTTACATTATCATATCTTTCCCATGTTATTAATATCATAAATTCAATCATTTTTTTCTCCACTGCTAAGACTGATGCATGAGGAGCATTTCCAATGCCTTAATCAATGTCTCCCATAAATTGAAGAAAAAAAAAAGAGAGAGAACTATTATCTTCATCTCAGTGCCCATGTGCACTTTCAATATATACCTAAGATGGAAAAAATGTGGTGCTAATTAAATATGGATCTAAGACTAAAATTTAACCAACCCCCCGCCCAAAAAACAACTCCCATCAATCACAGATGAGTCATATAATTAACACATAACACAAAGGTCTCCCCCATGTGGATCCAATGAAAGTTCATTCCCAAGATAATAACAAATGCTTACAGCTCAACCAACATCAACAACAAAATCTATGTGGGTCAGGGTCTCATCCAATTTTTCCACTGTTTTTGGGTGCCACTGTTTCACATGACCCCCCTTATCTATCCTACGCTACTTCCACAGCACAGACTCACGTAAATCCAACCACTACCCTTCGAAAACAGAGTCTAATGCTCTAGTCTGAAAAGAAACAGATAAGTCTAAACAGCAAAATAAACTATTGTACCACTGATTAACCTTAAAAATTCCTTAATCACAACAAAAAGAAGCTTTAGCAGTGTTGATTAAAAACATAACATAGCTTCTTTGTACCATAGGCTACCTTAAGATTAAATTAATACGTACGACAGTATGATATAGTTTAAAGAAACTATATACAAAACGGACCCTGTTATTTTTTTTAATCGGTTTAAGGCCACCGTTAATTACCTAGACGAAACTGGATTTAAGCTTCTGGCGAGACCGTCAAGTGCACCGTAACTTTTCGAACTGAAGCTTAAGCAACCAAATAATCCTCGTCTGTAAGGCAAGTAAGTTCTCTTCTTCACTTTCTCGGCTTGAGCTCTGTTGGTGGTGTAGTGCAACTCGTGCGGTGACGGAGGGACTCGTCTTTTTGCTACTCCATTTGACGGTTTCCCGGAACTCACTTTCTTGCCCGCGCCTTGTTTATTTTCCTTTTGCTTACGTTTCAAAGGTGGAGGCTTTTCCTGTTCCATTTGGATCTTTTTCTCTTTTAATGATGAAAATGATATGGAAGTCCAAAACTTTTCTTTCCCATTCGCTCTCCCTTCGCTTTTGCTTCTGTACAAAAGATCTTTCAGGAATATCCACTTTTTGGAGTTCCTGCCTGAAGATGAAGATCTTGATGAAGATGCAGAGGAAGATGGTGTCGTTTCCTTTGAAAGTTCGGTTTCTTTCAAGCCTTCAAAATTGAGCTTACTGACTTCTTTCCGGCCTTCTCCGCTACACTCTTCTTCTTCATCTTCTTCCCATTGGAACTCTGGGTTTCGAAGCGGTGATAAAGATCTCGCCTTTCTATGGATCGACCTGCTTCGAAGCTCCAGATCCCTTCCTCGTGAGGCTTCCTGCTTGTTTGAACCGTCGTCGTTTTCCTCGACGTCAAGATCTAATAAAGGAGCTAGGTTCTGAGGTCTTTGCAAGTGAGAAGAGAGCTTCATGGACCTGATCTGGCCGTTCAAGAACAACTCGTCAGCCGAACTCATGGATCCGACAGTCACAGAGCCATTACTGGAAAAGCGAGACGAAAACTCGAACTCGAAATACGAAGCATCCGATTGCGCCGATATTAATGAGGGCTCGGACGAAAGATGAGACTTTGAGGAAAGAGCAGAAGACAAAATGAAATGCATGGGACTGGCCGGCGCACTGAAAAAGTATCCCGACGTGGGGCCACGGCCGGGGCTCGACGGTGCACTGACGTAGGGAGTGGAGCAGGTTGAATCAAAGTCTTCACTGAAACGCGGCGTTTCGGTGTGGTCGCCTTCATTGTAAGAAGAAGAAGAGAGGTGAGCTAGAGTAGAAGGATTATTGTGGAGATTTTGAGTTAAATCCATGTTGAGAGATGAAAAAATGGTTTAGATAATACTTAGAGACGAGGGAGTAGCTTGCGGGGCTCGTAATAATGGTGGAGAAATGCATATGGGAGGGAGGAGGAAGATGAAGGCGCAGGTCGCTCTTTAAGGCTTGCGACAATAATAGAAGTTGGAGGTTGGAGTCATTTGTTTTTATATACACTCAATATGTTTCCCTTCTTTTTTAGGTAATTGATGCTTAGAATTACCGGTTTATCCCCCATTACTCCATCTAAATTTGTAAATCTGTTTCAGAATTATACTCCATTAATTGAATCAACATAGAATTTTAATTAGTTAATAAAACTAACACAACTGTAAATTTTAATAATTAATTACATTTATATTTAAAAGTAAAATATAGAAGGGAAGGAGGAGTTGTCAGGGTGATAACATGCGATGTCATGACCATGAGAGAGAGAGAGTCCTAGGCGATTTGATCTGATATATTTATCGAATATTTACCTTTTTAGCACCGTTTAATGTATATTTTTCGAAGTGGCACCATTTCGGTTGAGCTGGCGAAAGACGCGTCCCCGGGGACGCGTTTTACCTATGTTTTCGCTGAGTTGGATGTCACGTGTGGAAGGCGCATCCCCGAGGATGCGCCTTCACGGGATTCTGATGACTCGACTGTCACGTGTGGAAGGCGCATCCCCGGGGATGCGCCTTCCATTAAATGCCATAAATACCCCCATCCGTATTCCCTAACTACCACTCCTCCTCCCCTATATAAATCCCCTCAACCCTCCTCCTCCACTATGAGAGAGAGAGAGAGTCCTAGGCGATTTGATCTGACATATATTTATCGAATATTTACCTTTTTAGCACCGTTTGATATATATTTTTCGAAGTGACACCATTTCGGTTGAGCTGGTGAAAGACGCGTCCCCGGGGACGCGCTTTACCTATGTTTTCGCTGAGTTGGATGTCACGTGTGGAAGGCGCATCCCCGGGGACGCGCCTTCCATTAAATGCCATAAATGCCCCCATCCGTATTCTCTAACTACCCCTCCTCCTCCCCTATATAAACCCCCTCAACCCTCCCTCATTCTTCACACCAAAATCATATTCTTCTCTCTTATATAACTCAAATTCTCCAACTATTTGAGTTTTAAATTTGTTATTAGTGGTAAGAAATATTTTTATGTTAGTATTTTTTTAAATAGTTATTATATTTTATATTAATATATTTATGTAAATATTATTTTTTATTAAAATAATATTTATATAATTATTATTTATTTAAATTTATTAATTAATTATTTTTTGTGCTAATTATTATTTTTTGTCTACAGTTATAATGGAAAGTGAAATGCTGCTGCAATTGGATGTTGATCATATCTCCAGATATTTTAGCGATATGGTAATATTTTTTTATAATTAATGTTAATATTTATTGATATGTTTAATTTAAATTTATTATGAATTTATATTAATTTTAATTTTTTATAATGCAAATTATTTAGGATACTGATCGTATTTTAGAGACTTTTATTAAAAATCCACGTATACCGACACCAGAACATATTTTGTCATATTTGGCTTCTGCCTGGTTCGGGTATATTGCAACAATTATTGGCGGTTGCAAACTCGAACATGTCCTAATTTCTACACTGATTGAGAGGTGGAGGCCCAAGACACACACTTTTCAACTTCCATGTGGAGAGGCCACAATTACATTGGAGGATGTCTCTATGCATCTGGGGCTTCCCGTTGACGGAAATATGATGTGTGGTATGGCGGATGGTGATTGGCAGTCAATGTGCATTGATTATCTTGGAGCTACTCCGCCAGAGTTTAATGGAGGTAGAATAGTTTTATCTTGGTTGAAAGCTAATTTTGAGGTTTTAAATGAAAATGCTTCAGAGGATCAAGCAAAGGCTTGTGATCGGGTATATATTCTACGAATAATTGGAGGAATATTGATGCCCGACAAATCTCGCAACCTGGTGCATTGTATGTGGTTGCGGCATCTGATCGATTTTGATGAAGCTGAAAGATATAGTTGGTGCGCTGTAGTTTGGCATTTCTCTTTAGAGAAATGTGTCAGGCGACGAATTATAAGAAAACTGCTATCGGTGGATGTCTCCTGCTTCTACAATAATGGGCGTGGTTTCGCATGCCTTTCTTATGCCCGATCGTGAATGAACCATACGTATTCCCCTTATTGTTGAGGTAATTTTTGAACTAATTTTTGATTTAAATATTTTCAATTAAAAATGGTGATATTTAGTTTATATTATATTCATAGGTGGTCGATGAAAAGAAAGAACCATAAAAGTATACATATTGGGTTAGAGGAAATTCGTTTACTTATTGATACGAAAGCTGGGTCTGAGATATATTTTAAATCTGTTTAATTATTAATATTTTAATTTAAAATGCTAGATATAATTAGAATATTTTATTTATTTGAATTGTATATTTATATTTCAGTTTCAGTGGATACCTTATGCGAGCGATGAAGTGAAGGCTTGCATCTCACCCCACCTTAGTGGGTCATTAGAGGTATGGATATCAGTTATACCTCTTATATGTTATGCTATTATTGAGTGACATCCAGTTGATCGCGTGCTCCGTCAGTATAGTTGTACGCAATATATTCCTGGAGCACCTAGGAATTTAGACGACGTGCATAACATAGATAGACGAGGAAAGAAAGAGGTTAACTGGGTGGTGAGACACAGAGATTGGATTGCGCTTTGGGAGAACCGATATACACTGTTGGCCCCTCGACAATATTACGCTGAAACTGGTCATATGGTTACGGATAACTATATGGACTGGTTTAATAAAAATGGGAAGTCGTTTCTACTTTCGGCGGAAGCACGAGGGGTTAACATTCCTAGGCGCCGAGAAAGACGTCAACTGTCTCAATATTATCGTCCCCCGACGCGTGGATGGAGAGAAGGCGCTACCGATTCTGCATCAGTCCTACCACAACATCCTTATCCGTCGATGTTGCAGGGGTACATGCCCAGCCCTCCACTTCATATGCCAAGCCCACTAGTTCATATGCCATCTCCGCAGGGTTACATTCCGAGCCCGCAGGGTTACATTCCTAGCCCGCCAGGTTACATGCCTAGCCCGCAGGGTTTCATACCATATGGATGTGCATATACGACTATGTTTAATGATCCAGCATATGGTTCATATGCATCTTATTTGGCTGATGGTGCTTCTCCGCAGACACCTCAATCTCCATCTGGATCACAGACATCGATGCCAATGCTTCCATAGTTTTCACAGTTCCCGGGGAGCGATGGGATTATTACTAGCACTCCTCCAGGGTCGTTATTTTATACAGGCCCTTCAGCCCCTTCAGCGTCATCTACACCAAATGAAGAAAATGCTGCTGATGATGATAGTGAAGATGAGGGGACTGAAGAACAAGTTCTACGAAGAAATCCTCCACGAAATAGACAACCACCGCCATGTGGAACTCATTCGAGAAGACGACATCAGTGATCCAGTTGTATTTTAATGTTATTTAAATAGTTATATTTTAGAATTTTATGTAATTTGGTTATGTTATTTAAATGTTTCATGGTTGTTACATACATATTTTTAATGTTATTTTTTATTCACATTTAACATTAAATGTTTGATAAATGTTTTTAAAATACAAATTATATTATTCGAAATTTAAAATAAAAATAAAAATAATATTATTCGAAATTTAAAATTAAAATATAAATTATAGTATTCGAAATTTAACATTAAATTTCAACTTAATATTCCAATTGTATTCGAAATTAAAAGTTATATTCCAATTATAGTTCACAATACTTAAATTGAAATTAAATTTATCCATACATATGATTTTATCATTAACATATATTAAAACGTATACATTAAAATCAACTTATCACTTCACATTTATTCGTAAAAACATCTCGATGCTCATTCTATACAATTCAATGTCACAATCAACTTATCACTTCACATTTATTCAATTTATCCATAACATTTTATCTAATTTATTCAAACTTCACATAACGTTTTAATTTAAGTTATGAACTTAAATTAATCTATATGTATAATTTATTCTTAACTTGCTGAACTTTCAAAAGAAGTTAAATTTTGGTTATAATTTACCTGATTTCAGAATCCATCTAGTGTCCCCGAGGGACATGAGTGACATAATAGAGCAATGATAACATATTCTATGACAAAATAATAGAAGGCGCGCCCCCGGGAACGCACCTTCAAGTCCCATGAGAAATAATAGGTACTGATATGAATAGTGTCATCGACGGACATGAGTGACATAATAGGGCAATGATAACATATTCTCTGATAAAATAATGGAAGGCGCGCCCCCAGGAACGCGCCTTCAAGTCCCCTGAGAAATAATAGGTAATGATATGAATAGTGTCCCCGAGGGACATGAGTGACATAATAGGGCAATGATAACATATTCTCTAACAAAATAATGGAAGACGCGCCCCCGGGAACGCGCCTTCAAGTCCCCTGAGAAATAATAGGTAATGATATGAATAGTGTCCCCGAGGGACATGAGTGACATAATAGGGCAATGATAACATATTCTCTGACAAAATAATGGAAGGCGCGCCCTCAGGAACGCGCCTTCAAGTCCCCTGAGAAATAATAGGTAATGATATGAATAGTGTCCCCGAGGGACATGAGTGACATAATAGGACAATGATAACATATTCTCTTAAAAAATAATGGAAGGCACGCCCCCGGGAACGCGCCTTTAAGTCCCATGAGAAATAATAGGTAATGATATGAATAGTGTCCCCGAGGGACATGAGTGACATAATAGGGCAATGATAACATATTCTCTGACAAAATAATGGAAGGCGCGCCCCCGGGAACACGCCTTCAAGTCCCCTGAGAAATAATAGGTAATGATATGAATAGTGTCCCCGAGGGACATGAGTGACATAATAGGGCAATGATAACATATTCTCTGACAAAATAATGGAAGGCGCGCCCCCGGGAACGCGCCTTCAAGTCCCCTGAGAAATAATAGGTAATGATATAAATAGTGTCCTCGAGGGACATGAGTGACATAATAGGGCAATGATAACATATTCTCTGACAGAATAATGGAAGGCGCGCCTCCGGGAACGCGCCTTC